CGATAGCAAAATAAATCCTCTGGCTGTAGTCAATTCGCTCTCCATCTCTGTACGCATGTATGTTGAACGTTCTTTCGCACCGGAAGGACGACGAACTAAACACAAAAAGCAGTTCTAAAATATATTTTTTGCTGAAATGAAAACAAAATAACAATAACAATTATGACAACTATTAAGAATTCTAGATTTGAAGCTTTCGTGACTGCAAGGATTCATACTCTTAGTTCTTTCGGTAAAGTCACGTAGGTAAAAAATGAAATTAAAATTAATAAAAATAAAACAATAAAAATCACGACGTTTCGGAGGCAACACAAGCTTCAGTTTCACCTCAAGACGGAAGCTTGTGTTGCCTCCGAAACGTCGTGATTTTTATTGTTTATTTTTTATTAATTTCACTTTTACCTACGTGACTTTACCGAAAGAACTAAGAGTATGAACTATTAAGAACACAATTGCCAATAGATCCCTCGTAATTGCTCGCTCAAAGAAAGGGCCATCCACAAGAGGGAGATATCGAGTTAATTTGGCCTGTTTTTTCCACGCTGGCAAAGACATCTTGGAAGAGGTGGGAATGCCCACGCTCTACCCCACCACACAGACCTGGCAATCACCCAGAGCAGTGTTCTTCACCAATTTTCAGAGGGGGGGGGGGGGGGGACATTTTTGACCATGATAAGACATCATCAGTGCAAGGGCCTCCACGCCTTTGAAACCATTGTTGGGTTTGACGGCAGCACGATGGCGATGATGATGGGGCGGGGGGGGTGTTTTGAACGCGATGCTAGAGAGGCATGCTTAGGTTGTGTATTCGTCTTGGTTGAGTATTAGTCTGCGTTGTGTATTAGTCTGCGTTGTGTATTAGTCTGCGTTGTGTATTAGTCTGCGTTGTGTATTCGTCTTGGTTGAGTATTAGTCTTCGTTGTGTATTAGTCTGCGTTGTGTATTAGTCTGCGTTGTGTATTAGTCTGCGTTGTGTATTAGTCTGCGTTGTGTATTAGTCTGCGTTGTGTATTAGTCTGCGTTGTGTATTCGTCTTGGTTGAGTATTAGTCTTCGTTGTGTATTAGTCTGCGTTGTGTATTAGTCTGCGTTGTGTATTAGTCTTCGTTGTGTATTAGTCTGCGTTGTGCATTAGTCTGCGTTGTGTATTAGTCTGCGTTGTGTATTCGTCTTGGTTGAGTATTAGTCTGCGTTGTGTATTAGTCTTCGTTGTGTATTAGTCTTCGTTGTGTATTAGTCTGCGTTGTGTATTAGTCTTCGTTGTGTATTAGTCTTCGCCGCCACGTGGCGCTGTTCTCACTTTTCCTGCACGGTATCCATGCCGCAGCCTGAACCCCCCCTGAAAGGTTTTGGAGGTTTCGTTCCACGCGTTTAGGACCGCTGCTTTATAAGCTGCGCTGTAAGGTTTTCGCGATTGTGCTGTGCAGCTCTCCGATATGTCCTCGGGTTGTGTCGCGTGTTATTCGTCATGATGCCCGACGTTTCGCTCCGATACCACGTGGTTCAACCCGAAAACACGTCCAAGAGAGGTTGTTTATCAGCTGTCCAAGCAGCATCACGTAGACAGCGCCTGCAGCGCTCCGTCCTCCTCGTGGGCAAACTCACTGGGTATCTCTCTGTTATAAAGAAGGGCCATCGCCTGAAACGTCGTCTATCGTGTTATTATGGTTTTTTTTATTGTCAGGGCAGTATTACTAACGACTTTGTTTAGATTTTGTTCACGGAGCTGTACGGGTTTACTTTGTAAAACGTTACTCCCCAATGCTGCACACCCCCTGTTCTGACACATGGTTCAGAAACATGGACATTGACACATAACATGGAAAACCGCAATATACAATACACGATACCGTATTCTTATAATTCTCGCCCAATTTATTTTAAAGAGAAAGTTGAGGATTCATCTTATATCTGATGCGTGTCTTTTCAGTGCTTACATTCAGCCAGAACGCCTTTCCGAGAATGATTGTGACATCAATATTATTTAAAAATAATAATCTTGCTTCTAAGCATGTTCATGCGATGATATGAAAGTAGGAAAGTAGGTTACAATATTGTTGGTTATGGATAGAAGTAACTTATTATTAACTTTTTCTCATCTGGATAGATAACGCGAGTGGCATATTTCTGACGTTGGTGGCGGCTATGCACGTGACCTCGAATCCAGGGGGTGAGGGTTGGTGGGTCACATACAGAAGTTGCGAAACTCCCTTCCCGTGGACATTTATGAGGAGCCATACCCTTGCTTGCCAAGGAGAAGCGGTACAGCAAAGTGCGGACTGTCATCTCTGTTCCTTCTATGTGGGATAGAGTGTTTCCCCCTCGCACGTGTGGGTTTTCGCTGGGTGTTCCGGTTCCTTCCCACATATGTAAACGCTCAGTAATTGGCTTAAAATATCTTGATAGAGGAATGCAGAGCTTGGAAAATTGTTGGCGCCGGCGAACCGCCTGGTTGGCTTCTCGCTTGCAGCCATGAGGTGCAATTTGCCTGAAACACTTAATCTTCATGAAAGTAAAATATTAACCAATATTACACCGATACTCCATGCTCCAAGCCAGCCGAGCAGCGTTCCAGAAAATATCGACTTAGAAATGAATCCGTGGGTGACAAATATGTTTAACTTAATTGACACTGAGCACATATTTCGGGTGCGTCTTACTTTGCAAGGGCATCTTATGAACCAAAAAATACGGTAACAGTGGAGGCCAAATATATGGGCCCTTGAGTGTCAAGATCAAATCTGACAACCAACAGCATGTGTTTAGAATTATGACACGTTTCCTGTTACGTTTCCTCTGGGTCTTATTGTGCATTCCAAGTGATGAAATATTTATCTAAAATAATATTAATATTCTTGGCCGGACAATTTTTTCCAAAACAATGAGCAATTCAGCTTTCCCGTAATCGCCCACGCAACTAGACCCTCTGAAGGCTACTACAGAGGTCGCGCTCATTATACACAAAGCGCTTGCCACAAATGAACCAAAATACCTTGCTGACCTCGTCATGGCGCAGAAATCATCACGCGACATCCGGTCACCATCGCAGCAGCAGCGGCGGCTTTTGGCTGCTTGCCATTGAACAAAGACGGTCACCGCTTCGCGCGCTTTCAGATGCGCTTCTGCGGCCGTCTGGAACGCTCTCCCTTCCGATATTGTGAAGCCACTGGAGCTATGCACTTTTAAATCTAAATTAAAAACTACTTTTTTGAAAACTGATTTTTTTTTGTGTTTAGTTTGTTGTCCTTCCCTCGCATCTCCGATTAGCACGGTTGTCTCCGCATGGTCCGAAAGAAGTTTAACATTGACACATGTATGCATGCGAATTAGCGGATTTAATGTTTTACGGTCAATGTACATTGAATGGGGCGAGCGGTGGGCGCGGTGGTGTAGCGCCATGCATTAGGATCCCTGCTCATCAGATGTTCGATCCCTGGTCGCAGTTCAGTGGATTGACAAAGGCTTGAAAACCTGCAGCAAGTTGGCACAGTAGCGGGTACAGCTGGTGCATCTACTGGTCATTTCAGTCAGCCAACCCATGGCACCTGGGTTTGTCCCGAGACCTCCTTCTGTAAGCGAGCCTTCAACACATCACGTGGCCTCAAAGTGCACCTGGCCTGGCACAGGCGCCGTGGTGACGTCGCCGTCACTTAGTGGCGAATGGCGGGTTGTTGGTATTGGTGCTAGTGAAGGAATAGCGGTTAGTAGTTAGAGGTGGCGGAGATGGCGGCGGTGGTGATGGTCGTGAGCTGTATAAAAACAAAGGCTGCACAACTGCTTTCAGATGTGAGCTGGGTTGACGTCGTTAAACACTTAAATGTGATTAATTGGACGCTTTGCGTCTGAGAACATTCCGTGTAAGTCAGCGTCAGTGTGCTGCAGCAGGGGCCTCTTAAGCGTGGATCGAGTCGCCTGCGGGCTGCGTAATGTGACCACTCATCCTCGACTGTGTGCATACATTTAGTGCGCTCACGCGCGTATCTCCCGTGAACTCGTGTGGTGCGTCACGATGTCTTACACATGGCATGTCTATACATGATTTCCCGACTCATGTGTGCACACACATAAACAAGCATTGGCGTCGGGCTCAGGGCTTCCCAAACATCACTCCTCGCCACGCACCACGGCACCGTTCGTTCTGCCTTTGCCAATGTACTCCTCCCAATAACTCGTTCGCACGCTGCACGCACCCGATGATTGTTAAACACGTCCCACGTGACGTGCCAAGCAATTGTCGGTGTCTGTGGCTCGTGCACACACGCGCGCGCATACCGAGATCACAATCTTCATTTGAATCGGCACTCTTTACGCAGACAGCGTTAATTTTCTTAGCGCATCGCGTGGGTCGTGTTGCATAATAATCATCGGGTGCGTGCAGCGTGGAACGAATGAAGTTTGATTTCAATGGGGAGGAGTAAATACAGAGAGACGGGGCGTGGTGGGTCCCGAGGACTGTAAAGTGGGAGATCCTGATTTTTTTTTTTTTAAACGCCGCGGTGGAATGATGTTCACTACCTCGCCCGGCACACAAGAGTTTCGTGGGTTCGATCCTCTGCTTATCTTCACTACACTCACGACCACTTGAGATTATGTTTCGAGCGGGGCCATTGCAAAATCAACCAAAGAGGGCACTGGTGAAGTGAGAAGAGAAAAAACGTCGCTGGGTGCCGGCCACGACACTGGGTCCCGCGATGAGCCGCGCGGGAGACGGTGGCAGCTCGCGAGCAGTGCACGTGACGCCGAGCAGGCGTGGATCTCGCGCTCAGACGTGGATGGTCGAATCGCAAGGGGCACGATCGGCGAAATTTACCGGAATCCAAATCCGCCGATTTTTTTTGGGGGGGGCGGGGGGAGGAAACCCGCGCTGGGAAGGGGTTTTCTGCTGTATTCTTGACGGTGGAGACAGAGACTGGCTGCACAACGTTGGATTATGAAGCTACATTCTTTATTATGAGAACTGGAACACGTTTTCAGAAGAATAAACAAAGCCAAACACATCAATGGTGTTGTATGTATTTTACTAATTAGTACGATGTAAGATCACTAAAGCAAACACGATGTAATATAAAGTACTTAAATGCTGAGATGGTGGCTGCTTGGAAGGCCTTCATCCAGCAGTGGATCGATCATGGCTGGAGAACATCCGATTGCATATTAAATCAACTTCAGATATTCTGAACTTCCAGAGTAGAACCCAACATTTCGACCACAGCACCTGGAGCGGTGCCTACTTCTGAAACTCCGGACGTACTGCACATGCAATGTGATTGTGAAGCGTGGCACGTGATAAACACACAAGCGATAGAGTAGCAACAACAACAACAATAAAAACTAGCGGAATAAACCTAAGATAGGATCGAGCATGAACCTCTCCTACTCCTCATCCTCCCTTTCCAACTTCCACTTCATGAATCGTTCCGAATTCAGGACGTTGGGGGCGACATAGAACTTGTAACCGGCTGATCATCTGTGGGACTGCTCCCACCCACACAAGCAGGAGGTGGTTGCCGTACAGACACCTCCATCGAGGAGGGACAAAACCGGAGGAACCCGGAGAACAATCCTCGCGACCAACTCCAGATATATAATAGGGGTCCGGGATCGAACGCACAACCTCCTGTGTGCCAGGCGAGGGAGGCAACATCTCCTCGCCACTCAACCGTCACATCATCGAGATGAAACTCGGTCTCTTTGAATTCCACCTTCTAAAGGGCAGACCTCGATGATATGGATGACTGTTTGTTGGGCAGTACACCCTTGTAATTTTCTGCAAAGCGCGTTCATCACAAGGCTATGAAAATGTAAATGTTTAGTTTTTAGAGCTGAAGTAATGCAAATTTGTTGGGGGAAAATCTAATATTTAAGTCACGAGGAACTCATTGCTGGTTATATTTCAGAACCCAGCTTTAATTACAGGTGGCTGAAACATGAATTCAAATTTAAGGACCTCAATATATTATCGTCAGATCTGGCGCCGTGGTCATTCTAGGACCCGGCGATTGCGGGCGAGGTGGGCGCCAAGGGAGGCACCGCCTAACACTTGGTAGGGTGGCTGTGATGGTGATGGCAGCATGTGATAAGCTGGTGGTATCTGGCGATGGTGCGTGGTGTTGATGGTGTGGTATTGTTGTGTGATGTGCTATGGTTATGGTGACTGGGCAATGGGAGTCGGTTATGGTATGTGTGTTTTGATGGGGGAGACGGGTGGGTGTGTGGTTGTGATGGTGAGTGGTTATTGTGTGTTTGTGGTGTGGTATTGTTGGGTGATGCGCTATGGTCATGGTGAATGGTCAATGGGAGTCGGTTATGGTATGTGTGTGTTGGTGGGGAGGGGGTGAGACGTGTGGGTGCGTGGTTGTGATGGCGCGTGGTTATTGGGTGTTGGTGGTGGTGAGGATTGTGGACGGCTGGCTGGCTGCTGACGGGCCCAGTGTTCACTTCCCCACTGCCGCCTGAGGCCCCGAGAGGGGACACTTCACTTTATGGTTCTTCTTCCTCACCACATTGTAGACGCATTCCTTCGTGTCGAGGATCGGCTCACAGCTCGAAGGGAAGCCCATTAAGGGCCGGAACGCACTGAGGGCAGAAATCCACACAGGAAGTTAGGTGCGGCGTGATCAAGAAATAGGATAACAAAAATCGATTTCTGAATGTTATCTGTGCGGAGATTTTGAGTGTTGCACCCTCGTAGAGGTGGTGGGAAGGGGTCTGGGTGCTCTCGCGGTTTGCTGCTTCACCGGCTGACAGCTGCCCAGGGGGGAGAGTCGCGCATTTCAGGAAAGACACGGCGAGGAGTGAGCACTGCCTAGCGTGGCTCTCTCAAGAGGAGGGGGGGGGGGGGTGTTTGATGATGTCGGGACGTTGCAAAAAGTTTCCCGAGTTACATTTGGGAATTCGCCACTCGTCTCCGTACGCAGGACACGCACGGGGATTGTTTCGGGTTAACTGCCTTATTCACAGTGTTTGTCCGTCACATGGTTCCTCGGCGCACACACACACACACGCCGATGACACTGGGGATGCACTCCGACTCTTCTTCTTCTTCCACGCGTCTGTTCCACTCACGTGGGGGTGTCCGCTGTGCTTGCCAACCTTCTCCACGCTGCCATGCGCCATCTCTCGTTCTGCCCCTCGGGCCACCGATCGCACCACATCGCCCCCTACCCCACACCTCTGCCTCCCTCTTCATATCTGTCCTTCTACTCGCGTCACTTGCACCTTGTTACCGATATCATTGTCCTGTCGTCTCTCAACATGACCGAACCACACCGGCCTTATGTCTCTCTGTCTCTCTCTCGCCCATCTTCTCTGTGATTTCTACCACCTTGAGTCTTCCTCTCACTTATTCATTTAACACGCCTCTGTCCTTCCTTGTTAAACCAAACATCCACCGCACGCCGATGCTATGGTCGCCAATATGCACCCCTGGCGGTGAGGACCCTAGAAACTAAACAAATGTAGATTGCGCACAATTTTTGCCAGTACCTCCAACCAGTGCCGGATGAAGCTAGTGCGGGGCCTGTAGCATATGTTATAAAGGGGCCCTAAATAAATAAAATAAAACACATAAATATTAAAACACACATTTTGTACATGCGTCGTCAAGTAATTGTATGTTTTCATTTGCTATACAGCCAGATAATTCGACACATTGCTAACCTTAAACACCCAGTCGTTCATAAAAAGTTGAAGGCAGTATAGTACTATAGTAATAGAGCAAGTGCAGAATCACTGAACCGGAAATTGATATTTTGAAAGCATTTAGCGCAGGGCCCTTGAAAGTGCGGGGGCCGTAGCATTTGCTACTTTTGCCGCGAGGATAATCCGTCACTGCCTCCAACGTGTTCTGTTCTGACATTGTCTGTTCCTTCCGTAGGCATCACTTTGGCGTCGCTCTTATTTGTTACGTGCTAATGCACACCCCGCAAAATCGCCGATCGAGCAAATGCAGGGCTGCCCCCTTCACCCCCTTACTCACGCGTGGCAGCAGCGTACCTCGTCGCCGGAGCAGTAACAATTCATGCAGTCGCTGGTTCTCCACCTCTCGCCGTCCTCGCGGACTGCGTCAAACTCGTCCAAGCAGCCACTCGACACGCGTACCGGGACTGCCAATATCGGAAGGAAGAGCGTTCCGTACGGTCGCAGAAGCGCATCAGAAAGCGCGCGATGCGGTGACCATTTTTGTTCGACGTTTAGCCAAAAGCCGCTGCGAGGATGACCGGAGTTTGCGTGATGATGGTTTGTTTTCCTTGACGAGATCAGCAAGGTATTGTGGTTCATTTGCGGCAAGAACTTTGTGTGTAATGAGCATGACCTTGAAATGTATTCGTTCGGTAATCAGAAGTCAATGCAGCTTCCCAAAGGCCCATGAACTGCGAGCGACCCGAAATTGGCTGGAGTATGACCGTTAGAGTCGAGAAGGGTCGATACGTTCCTTGAATTGAGAAGTGGTGTGAAGAACGATGATAATACTCCTTGGTTCTTTCTGTGAAGTCACGTAGGTAGAAAAATAATTGATCACGACGTTTCGGTCGCAACACAAAGCAATTGTCAACAGGTGGAACAACCACAGACAGAAAACAAACTGCCGTTTTCAAATCAAGATTGAACGATGATAATAATACTCATAATAATGGGCGTCATCAAATTGATGATAAATTTACTATTTACTGGCAGTGGTGTTAATGGATTCAGTGGCAGTGATGATGACGACGATGAGCCTGGAATGATGACGATGAACTGTCAGTGGTGCTCAGCCCGTCCGTGGCAGTGCCGTGAACTCACCCAGGCCACGCGTGTCGACGTAAGTCTCGGGACGTCGATGGTAGCAACCGCCGCTGGAGAGCGCCACGAGGACGCTCGCGACCAAGGCGTGAAGAGCGACTCGCTGCGTGTGCGGGCACGCGTATGGGTGCGTGCGTGAGCGTATGTGGGGAGCGGTGGCACAGTGGTTAGCGCACCGCGCTGCACAGAATCAGAATAATAAAATAATAAAAATTAAACAAAATAAAATACAATTCTCACGACGTTTCGGCCACAACGCAAGCAGCCGTCCTCAGGTGAAGAACACCTCTGTTTGAAAGACATTCAGACGCTGTATTTCCGACAGACCTGTTCTTCACCTGAGGACGGCTGCTTGCGTTGTGGCCGAAACGTCGTGAAAATTGTATTTTATTATGTTTTATTTTTTATAATTTTATTATTCCCCTTCTACGTGACTTTACCGAAAGAACCAAGAAGATGAATCCCTGCAGTCACGAAATCTTTAAATCAAAATTTAGAATCACAATATATATTTACGCTGGAGGAGTCCTATGAGCTATGAAGCTTTTTTTTCACATGTGCCCAGTAGGGACATCTGTGAAAAAAATAACCCGGCAATCCGATTTCGATTCCCGCTCGCGACCAATAACAGTGGCGAATATCTTCGGCTGTCCTGGGCCTCCCCTAGGTCGACTCAGCTTTAAATGCGGCGTGTAAACATCGCCACTGGGGAGACAGTCGGGCGGATGAGTGCTGGCCACCCACACCCCCTCGTGTGCCGTTCTGGCCTTCGTAGGTGCTCGCTAACAGTAGGGGCAGCTCAGAACGTTACATCTACCAAAGGAGTGCGTGTCTGTGTGTGCTTCCGCGCCCGGCCGCCTTTGTCTCTCTAGTCCTGATGTTTATCTCAGCACACCACGTACTCGAGAATCGTCGGCTGGTTAAACAAAACAATGAACTTGCACTGAGCTCCACAGCGCGCCACGGCTCCCCAGTACATTGTGTATAGTGGAGGCATAACACACGTTGAGTCGGTGGAGGAATGTGACCCACGGACTAATGCACTCTTACCGTCACGGCCATGGCGTCGTGTCGTTTGGCGAGACGCGCGTTCGTCAGAGCCGCGTGCGGAGTGTGGGGGGCATCGCGCGGACGGGCGAGGCACCTCGACCACCACGATAACCACCCCACCACCAACTCCTCCCCCCCACCAGCAAACCCCTCCCCACCTTCACACTCCCCACCACAAACCACAACCTCTCCCCCATCACCAAGCACCACCTCCACGAGCCCCCCTCTCCATCACCACTTCGCCCACCACCACCACCCCGGTCTCCTTTCCAACATCAACACACATGACCAGCGTTGTGAATTATGGTCGCAGCAACTCAAATGACCGAGGCGCGTGGGAGGGACTTGAATGCCGACAAGGAGACGGCAATCATAAGAGGTCGCCGGTTCGATCTCCCTGTGCGGCAGCTGGAACAATGGCATGTTTACAAAAAATAATCCATGCTGTTAACCCGGAAGTTTTAATTACGTTCAGGCTGCCGTCATCTCGCTCGTGGTGGGGTAAAGTGTGAGTGCTTCCCACCGCTTCCGAGATCTCGTCTGGCCAGCGTGGAAGAGTAGACCAAATAACAGTACCTGTAGTATTCTTTGGGTATTTCGGTAAAACCACGTAGATAGAAAAAAAAATAACTATCGTTATTCTTTTTATTATTTATCTTTCTACGTGGCTTTACCAAAAGACTCAAAGAATATGAATTCCTGCAGTCACGATTTAGTACCTATAGTCCTTAAAAAATTTCTTCCGGCAGCAGTGGCATAAGCGAACATGTTCATGTTGCACTTTTATCCCTACCCATGACAACATAGCGCACGGACGACTCACACGCAATGTGTCCGGTGTCATCCGATCTCGGAAAGCCGAGCATGCCTCTTCATTGGTAGTGCGAGAATGTGTGGCCACCAGCCACAGGCAGGTTGTCGTAGACAGGGCGGTCCATGGGGGGGGGGGGGGGGGGTGCGGAGCCTGGGGCAAATCTACCGTACTTATATACGTAACAAAAACAACCTTGAAAACTAATTTCTTTAGAACCGATTTTTGTGTTTAGTTTGTTGTCCTTCCCCCGCGCCAATAATTGGCACCGTTAGCTAAGTACAGTGCGAAAGAAGTTCAACAAAAACAAACAGGCCCAACTGTGTGGGCCACCTAAAACGGGGGAAGTATTGCATCTGACACCGTGACTTCGAAGCGCGGGGCTTCCCCCAAAGCGCGGGGTCCGGGGCAGTCGCCTCGATTCGCCGTAGCCTGGGGGAGGGGGGGGGGTCTGGTCATCGGGCTGCGGGACTGCGTGATGAGAAGCAGAAGGCAGTGCAGCGAGATGCAGGTGATCCCCACTCCCCGTGCGGCGTGCGGTGGCCCTCGAACGGCGGTGAACAGACATTAACGACACACAAACCACTTTGCTGATAAGACTTTTAATAGCCTACGTTAACAAGCATACATGTTGACCGAGTACGTATAAATGAATATCACGTGGTTATACATCTTCAAGGCAGCACAATGGTTAGTGGAACCCAACTATGACAAGGATTAACAAACTCCACTTTTTACCTTTCCCCTTTAACCAGTCTTCTATGTTCAAAATACAAACGAAGCCATTACACACCGCACGTGCCTGATGATTGGTACAACACGTCCCGTGCAAACGAGAGCGATGATTCATCTAACGTGCGCTCTCTCTCTCTCTCACTTGGGACACACAGGATCTCGGTATTAACTCAAATAATCGTTTAGCAATCATCCGGAGAGTGCAGCATGTGATGACTTAATTTGTATTTGAACGGAGACAATTGTTAAACTTGGAATTTACAAACCCAGAGAGAGCATGCGACGGGAGTTTGGGAAGACCCTGAATTTTACTTGGCAAACACGCTTGTCCTAAAATGCATTAAACATAAATTGTGTCTTGACGAGACACTGCTTGCGAGGCCTTCATCCAGCAGTGGATCGAGCATGGCTGTTGCTCATAATGGCTGAAGAACATCCGATTGCATGTCAAATCAACTTCATATATTCTGAACTTCCAGAGTAGAACCCAACATTTCGACCACAGCACCTGGAGCGGTGCCTACTTCTGAAACTCCGGACGTACTGCACATGCAATGTGATTGTGAAGCGTGGCACGTGATAAACACACAAGCGATAGAGTAGCAACAACAACAACAATACCAACTAGTGGAATAAACCTAAGATAGGATCGAGCATGAACCTCTCCTACTCCTCATCCTCCCTTTCTAACTTCCACTTCACGAATCGTTCCGAATTCAGAGCAATGGGCTTCAGGAGGTTGGGGGCGACACAGAAATTGTAACCGGCTGATCATCTGTGGGACTGCTCCCACCCACACAAGCAGGAGGTGGCTGCCGTACAGACACCACCGTGCCAAGCAATTATCGTCAGATCTGGCTGTTTAAGGGCTCCAGCAAACGGAGGACAAAGACGCCGTGGACATTCTAGGACACGGCGATTGCGGGCGAGGTGGGCGCCAAGGGAGGCACCGCCTAACACTTGGTAGGGTGGCTGTGATGGTGATGGCAGCATGTGATAAGCTGGTGGTATCTGGCGATGGTGCGTGGTGTGGTATTGTTGGGTGATGTGCTATGGTTATGGTGAATGGTCAATGGGAGTCGGTTGTGGTATGTGAGTGTTGGTGGGGGGGAGGCGGGTGGGTGTGTGGTTGTGATGGCGCGTGGTTATTGGGTGTTGGTGGTGGTGAGGATTGTGGAGGGCTGGCTGGCTGCTGACGGGCCCAGTGTTCACTTCCCCACTGCCCCCTGAGGCCCCGAGAGGGGACACTTCACTTTATGGTTCTTCTTCCTCACCACATTGTAGACGCATTCCTTCGTGTCGAGGATCGGCTCACAGCTCGAAGGGAAACCACTTACGGGCCGGAACGCACTGAGGGTAGAAATCCACACAGGCGGTTAGGTGCGGCGTGATCAAGAAATGAGATTACAAAATGTTTTCTTAATCTTATCTGTGCGGAGATTTTCAGTGTTACACCCTCGTATGTGTAGTGGGTATTTTCCTGGTATTCCAGTTTCTTTCCTCCCACCTGCCCTAAACTCATTAATAGAATATTGTGAAAAGCATTATGAGTAATTCATGCGATAGATTTCCTCGGACGTGAAATTCACACAATATCCATTATTTTTCATGCACTGAAAATGTCCCCATTGTTAACGTGGTGTATTTCAATTTGCCAGCTCCACAGTATTATGTTGACAGGCGATGAGACTCAGAGTGGAAACTAGTCCAGATTGCATGCCTGGAAAACATTAGTCTGGAAGGACAATAGCCAGATGAATTTAAAAATTAACATTTACAAACGTGGACAAAAGAGTTGGAACAATTTGACAAATGTGTTTGATCACAGAGGCCTAGTGACACACAACACAAGCTACGAAGACAATATCGACGTGAGGATTTCACTGGCTGCAAGAGCATTTTGAAAGCTCTCGACATTACGGTCAGCTTGAGATATTTGCAATACGCTGGCGGCCCAGTGGTGTGGCCTCGAAAGCGCACGGGCAGTTTGGCAACATTGTGTGCGGTGATCCACCAACGCTTGTAGCCACCACGTGCCGAGACTCACATGCTGCAGCAGTTCACACTCCCGCTCGAGCAGGAACATCTCATGCAGTCGCTGGTCCGCCAAACGACACCCTCCTTGCGGGGCTTGTCATGCTCGTCCAAACAGCCGCTGGAAACGAGCACCGGGACTGTGTGTTGCCACGTCGAGGGGCGGGGTATTCACGGGACCACCACCACCAGAAGAACAACAACAATTAGGATTACGTTGCGCCCATAAAGGTGACGGGACCGCTCGGAGGGCCTTTTTTTGATTCGCCTACAAGGGACTGCCTGATGGCAGCTGGCCCTTTGTGGCGCAAGATGACCACAGCTACATCGGATTGCGAGTTTTGGATTCGTCGGCCAGGAGGAGGTGCGATGCTGCTGTTGGTTTTCCGGTTAAGAAATTCAAGGAGTCGTTTTATTTTCGCCTTCAAATTTGAACCATTACACCCGGCAACTCATGACCTATACAAACACAGAAGCCTTCGGCGATTGCCAGAGCGGTGAATTTAAAAAGGTGGTAAAGGTCAAACTCGCAGCCTCCGCAAATTGCTTGCTCACACCACTCGTGGCCGAAGACTCCCACTGGATGTGAGCTCGACAGAGGTCCTGTTACTCTGCAGAGCTCCGTAGACACTCGTTTGCGTGCGAAACCATTTTGTCGGAACCCGCAGATGCTCAATGTAACAGAGACGTAGACGTCGTCATTGTTGCTGTAACCCACGTTATCGAGAAGGCAAATTCTAGAACAAGATGTTCCTTCTAATGGTAGTCATCACCCCCTTGGCATCTATCAATCATCTCGAGGGGTGATCTTTTGGTGGATGCAGGCAACCGGTTTGTTGAGCACCTGGGCGAGATGCAGAGGTCAAATCTAGTTGGCTTCGGTGAAAGGTCCCTTCTGATTGCCGAGTCCTCTAAAGTTCACAGTCAGTGTCATTATGTGCGCTTGATCTCACGTGAGCTCTGTCATCATAATATTGCATTGTTCCTGTCACCGCGCCTCTCATGTGGCACATTTCGAGGCGTCAGAGCAAAAAGAGTGTTTGAGATAATTGCTCAGTAAGGAACAGATGGTCAAGATAAAATGGAAGCTTTAAAAACTATTAAAACTAAACACATTTTTTATTTTACCAGGTAAGGCCCACGGAGCTATATGGCTCTTTTTCAGGAACAACCTGGCCACAAATGATAGCTCAACGAAGTGGCTTATCACGTGGAAATCTAGAGCAGCCAAATACTCTAAACGCAAACTCCAAATATACAGGAGTCAGGGTTAGAATAGAACCCACGACCTCCTGTATACCAGGCGAGGTAGTTAACATCTCCTAGCCACCGTGGCGAGAGTAAACAGTAATGAAAAGCCAACTGCGCTCCAGAATTCTGCCAATGTTTCCACTTCGTTCCGAGTTGTTAATTTGCCATTGGGAATCACTGTCTTTCGTTGGGGCACTAACATACATCCGAGTACGTTGTTCCACAACGTTGATGATCCGGGCACGGTGGGACACGCCTGTGATGCAGAGATGATGGAGGGATGGCAGTGATGATGATGATGATGATGAAGTGGCAATGTTGATTGTGATGATGTGCCATTTCATTGAGGGACTATTGCAATGTGGTGTTTTCTAGATGTGGTCTGGGGCTGCCTTGTTATTTTTGCTGTCTTGCCCAATCTTGATGAATCGGACTTATATTAGTTGCATACTATTTATCATGTTTAGCTTACCATTTTTTATATTTTGCACTCTCGTCGTTTTTGTTTTGTTTGCTGTTGTAAACTTGCTCACCCGACCATACTGGACCCCTGTGAAAAAAAGCTTCATAGCTCATCAGGATTTTCCCCTGCTGATGAGTTAATGAGTTAATGATGACGTCACCCTGCTGCTGCTCTATATAAGATCGGGAGACGCAGCAGAGCCTCACCATTCTGGCGAATTGCCCGATGATGCTGGATGCAATTACCAGCGAAACGTCGTACTCAAATTGTAAATGTTGTGGTTTCACGCTTCAACACACCGGTTGGCTAAAGCAGTGAACTATTTGTCTTTTGTCAACGTGACACTTTTTTACTGATTGGCCGTGTCGGGTGGTGGAGGGTTACGACACATGTATAAATAACGCGATCTAAACCCAAAAACGTTGATTATGAAGCCTAAATAAAGCCTGACGATGATAACCATCTGGTAACGATGCTGGTGTTGTGCGTTAGGGACGAGTCCTGCTAGCTCACCTCCGTCGTGAGTTTCCACGTGAGCAACGGGTTCTCGAACTGTGCAAAAGCCGCTGCACAGCGCCACGAGGCTGCTCACGACCACGGCCACAACAGCCGCTCTCTGGGGGTGCGTGAGCGCGTGTGCATCCACGTGTGTGTGGGTGTGTGTGTGCACATATGTTTGCGTGTGTGTGCACGCGCACGTGTGTATGTATACGTGTGTGTGTGTGTGTACACAGATGTTTGCGTGTGTGTGCACGCGCACGTGTGTATGTATACGTGTGTGTGTGCACAGATGTTTGCGTGTGTGTGCACGCGCACGTGTGTATGTATACGTATGTGTACGAATGAATGCGTGCGTACGTGTGTGTCAGCCCAGTGTGTGCGTGTGTGTTGTGCATGTGAGAGTGTGTGTGTGTTAACGTGCGTGTGTGTGGTTGTGCCAGGGGAGAAGAGCAGATGGTTAAGATCAGTCAGTGTCGCAATAGTTCACCAACTGCGCCAAGAACCAGGCAACATAGGTTTGATTCCCGACACGGCGTACAACACCATGACCTACTGCTAATCGCGCAAGGCTTGGGACTCCTCGAGATCGACTGAACACTGACACTGGAGTGACAAAAGCGGTCAGGCTTTGCGTGGTCCTAGCCAAGACCACTTCACCGCGTGATGGTGATATATTCATCAAATAGGTGCTCGCTAACTGGATTAGCCAAAGCTATGTCAACATGGTAAAACAATGCACGTGCGCAGTAAAACACACTTTGACTGTGAAAACAAAGCCACAGATCGATGCCCCGTATAGCCTTGAAGACTGTTTTGGGGCGAGCGAGCGAGCGCTGTTAGCGAACAGAACACGAGGGCGTGGTGTGGACAAGCCACCTTTGTCTCCCCGGTGCCGATGTTTACATTCGACATCGGGTCACTTATTTACGATCGAATCAAACCACATGGGAGTCATGTTACGACTCGTCACTCGCCGAGTGATGTTCGCATTGGCCCGGAACGGAACTTTTGGGTCACTGGATTTAGGATGGCGCAGTGCGCTCACCGCTGCCCCCGCGTATCAAACCCAGAGCCCCTTCGACAATAACAACACTCAAGCAAGACGTTTGACCTTACAAGACCCGTTAGCGGATAAGACTGCTTATAGTTCGATGTCCTTTATCAGGCTGCAGCTGCGCCTGCCGTGTGTATTGTTCACGCCGTCGATGCGGTTATTTTTTTTTGCTTTTGAACAACGTGACCGCCCGCGCTGCTCCACAACAACAACAACGACAGTGAAAAGACATTCGACAAACAAATCCTTACCATCGCGACCATGGTGTCTTGTCGTCTCGAAGAAGGGAAGGCGAGTAAGTAGTTTGTGAGTGGCGCATTTTAAGAGGTGCGCTTTTATAGGCGTATAAGCGGGCGAGGCGCACACGCAATCAACCATCCAACCCTCCTCCCTCGTCGACATCGCCACCCCCCACGTCCCACACATTCCGCACAGCCAATCCTCCTTTTTTACACGCTTTTTTATTTAACTCACTCCGTCTGTTGTATCCTTAAAAATATATTGTAACTCAATTTTTACCCACTTCCCAATGTGCTATCGACTGCAAGCTTGGTATACGTATGTCATACTGATGGCAAGACTATATTATATCATAAGAAATTTAAAATATATATTTTTAAACATTTTCACCTGAAGACGGAAGCTTGTGTTGCCTCCGAAACGTCGTGATTTTTATTTTTTATTTTTATTAATTTTAATATTTTACCTACGTGACTTTACCGAAAAAACCTAAGAATATGTATCCTCAAATTTTGTAACTCAATTTCAACCGTCTTCCCAATGTCGTATCGACTGCAAACTTGGTATAGGTATGTCATACTGATGACAATACTATATTTAGTTCATTAAAAATATTTTAAACAATCTTTTTTTAAGGGTCTAATTGTCCACGCTCAACTCACGTTGCCTGTAAATCACCACGGGGTCCCTTACGTTGTGGCAAGCTGCGGGGCCACTTCCTGGAGTCGTGGAGTTCTGCCATTACGAGTATGGTACATTTCATTAAAGCGTGGTTTTATTAATTGATGGCGATGGTGGTTATGGTTAGCGGGCCATGGGTGGAATAAACCCGATTTTTCCAGCGGAAGGCATCGGGTTTTTTCTTTAATACAATTGAACCCGATTTCGGGGAATTAAAACCTGGTTTAATGAATACGAAACTCTGATCCAAGGCTTAGGCTGCTTCCTCGTCGGTGCTGCTATTATCGTACTCGGGGCCGTCGGGCACGGGGTAGTCGTAGAATGCGGCGGGCAGGTTGGTCGTGATGAACACGAACTTCTCCACAATCGTGGGCGCCAGTGAGTTCCTTAGCTTGGAATGGATGAAGCCCATCGTTGAGAAGTGCGGTTCTGCAATTATAACCAATTAAACCGGATTTCTCCCAATCTCAGATGATCGGGTTTAATATAAAAAGACAATTAAACCCGATTGTAAAAAACCGACTGTGCCACTCTTGCAGCGGGCTAAAGGGAGGAGCGGTGGGAGAGCAGTGGGGGGAGCGGTGGGGGAGGGCGTGTGGGTTGACGATCGAGGTGGCGGTGCAGGGGGCGCGGAAAGCGTCAAGTGTGTGATGTGATATCAATTTGACGGATGATGATGGCGATGAGCAGTGTTTGGTGGTTGATGCTGCTGCGTTGGCAGTGATACACATGAACAAAAACTCAACGCATTCTTCAATAACAGTGCCTTAACATATATATAATAGGCGACGTTTCGGGCAATGGCCCTTCTTCGTAGCATAGTGTACGTGTTATGTTTGGATTCTCACGAGGCCCCATGGTCTTAAGTGCTGTTTCCAACCCTTATTAACAACTCCATATCACTGGCTTCTCTGTGGATGTGCTATGAAGGGCCATTGACCAAAAGTTGCCTATTATAAAAGACAAGATTATTATTGATGATGCGATGGTGATAACAATTACACGGCTGATGATTAATTGATCAATTATTTTGATGATAAGCATGACTTGACAGTTGGATGCAAAGTAAGGATATGAATTTGCAGTGATGACAATGATTAAGCGACATACGTTTTCTAGCAATTACCTCATTTAAAAAAAACGCACAAATAACAGGTAATAAAACATACGTCTTTATATTTTAAATAGTGCATAAGAACGCGCAGACCTTTGTTAATCCACTGCCGGGTCAATGTCTCCCCACGCCTCAACAGATCCTGGGCCCTTTGCCATCACCAACGAACAATGACCAGTGTGGTGAAGTATGGTCAGACAACCCACACGGACCAACACGGACTGAGGGGGGGGGGTAGCCTTCGTTCAGAAGTGGCTTCACAAAACTAGCTGTGCATTATTACGTAACATTTACATTTCATATAGTGGACGGAACAAAAACAATAGTTTGAAAAAAACCCACCAAAGATGCAACACCAACAAAAACCCCAAGACAATAGAAGCTTAAATTGACTTTAATTGAAGGATGATTTTGATTAGAAATCATAACCTCGTGACAAATCATCAGGAGAAAAAAAAACAAGCGCAACGCATACCCTGCAGTCGCAAGTATTTCCAAAGATACCACGAGTGCTCCGTATAACGTTTGTTACGTATGGCTCTGACACCATTCTGTCCGGTCTGACGTCTCGCCAACGTCCGCCACTTGGGACGCGCCCCGCGCGCGGAGTGCCACGTTCTAAAGTTGCCGCGTGTGCGCATTCGCGGCCACCCACTCCTTCCTTCCCTCCCTCCCTTGCTCAACGTTGGAATTTTCCGGCTGAACTTTCCGTCAAGAAAAAAAAAATTCTGGCCTGATAATTTTCTCCGTTTTTGTAAAAAAAAAATTTGGTTTTGAACAAAAACAATATACAAACACCAAACAACAATAAACTTTTTTTTCCGTTCCGGTCGTTTGAACATGGTGATAGAACAGTTTTTTTTTTTACACTTTTGAAAATGTTATTTAGTAACGTTGTTCGAGTGTTTAATATTGATACCCACAATTCATGATGATTGGAAACACAGAGCCCTTGCTGTGTGCCATGATATAGTGGTAGTCCTATGAACTTTGGGACAAAACTGGCCAATGCCTTACCCAATGGGCCCTATTATTACACCCATCTCGTTGGGCGATGTTTATATATATATGGTTGAATTGCTAACGTTTAAGTAAATCATGGAATCTCACAACTTAGCATTGCAATTGACTGATGTAAAACAATCGTTTTCTCTAAACAAGACAACATATCCAGAAATTCGACATCGGGTCACAGATTTCAACATTGCTTCGATTGACAATTATCCACATCAGATGAGACAATATATTCATCAACATTCAAATGGTTTACCCACAAAAATTCCACTCACAGTCTCTCAGTCTTTTATTATTGCATTGCTACACCGGGATGTTTGGGCAATTCATTTATTGAGCGTTTGGCTTCACGTGGGAGGGAAATCGGAGGACCCGGGAGAACATCCCAGCACGCCTAGGAGATGGGTGACATTCCACTTCCACGTCCTGGTCACAAGTTCGTAGCACGGCACGCCTACAACACGTGGCAAGACCGCCACGAACTAAGTGCCGAGCCAGGCTCAACCCATCCCTCCTCGTTCATCAGAGGCGTCAAAAGGGCGGCATGCAGACCGGGGCCAAACAACAACAAAAACAAACTTCGCCATCGCACGCTGGAGTCAACGTTGTTAAATGATCAGAGTACAATGAGGACATTTCCAAATAATACTAGAGCTCCATCAAGTGGGGGGAAGGCCCCATTTTGCCAGCCAGCAATTGCAGGGCTGAACTTTACAACACAATTTAAACCTGAATCCACATCAGAGCGCATACTTTCAAGCACAGCAGCAGCAGCTGAACTCGGTAGCGTAAACCACCGCTACAACGGAACCTGTCCGAAGCTATGCGAAGCATCGTGCGGTAAAGGGAAGTGTGGGGGTTTATTGCACCCACCACCTACGCCCGGCAGGAGATGGGCAGTTATATCAATAGCATCTACATTCTTACATTACACCCGCTTGACACAATTGAGCATTCGTGTGTAAATGACACGCAACACCGTTGATCGGTCTTTTGTATCAACGTGGCTTTACGTCGGTAATTTGTGATTCGTGATGTCGATGTGTTTTGCCCATCTCTGCCGAGTGGACTGGGTGGGGGGAGTGCAAGCGGCGGCGAGGGGGGGGTCAATGATTAGCTGAGCATGCGTCACTGTGTCACGTTGTGGCTGGGGTCGTGAGCGAACCCGTGGTGCCACCATCTCTGGGGCTGACTACGAGAGAGACATGTGCTGGACGTAGCACTTCTCGCTCGGGTTGTTCTTCTTCACCAGGTTGTATTTGCACTGGTCCAGGTCCAAATCCAGCCTGCAGTCTTCCGGGAACATCACCGGCTTGCTTATGCTGTTCGCACGTAGGGGATGATGGGGGGGGGAGGAAGCACGTTACGTTGACATCCACTGTCTGAACCAGCGGTCACTTTTAAGGCGTCTCAAATCTCAGACTTTGCTCCGTGATACTTGCTTCCATGGGCCGCTATATCACGCGAAAAGGGTTGCATTAAATGCGTCATTTCCGGACAGTCCCGGGACATTGTTTTTGCACGCCTCTTCCATATAGAATTCATTTGGTCTAAACCTGCTCGTACGATTATCGGAATATAGGGCACGCTAATGTAGGATGATTATGGGTAGGCATATATATTGCTCGTTCTTTCGTGGTAGTGCCCTACATCGACTATCTCTACAACAAGCTATCCCAGCAGCGTTCTGGAAAATATCGAGTGCGAAATTAAGCGCTGGCTTACCCATTTCTGCAAGGAGTTTTAATTGGTAATTTGGTCTCAGGACCAAACAATTAAGAATATAAAAACATTGCTCTATTGAGTTATCGTTCAAAATTAATTCCAAACATGCACCCCTTTGCTCATCCACGGCTGGGTGAAGGTCTGTCCGTGCCGTGTCGGCCATGGGTGGTCGTTTGACCATACTTCACCCCGATGGTCAGTGCAGGTTTGTGAAGGGGGGTAAATCAGGGCCGGTTCAGATAATAATCACTCGCCACTGATGTCGGCGGTGGACGGGAGTCGAACCGAGGTGGCCGGGTTCACGGTGCAATGCGGCTAAACGCCGCGTCGCCACCTCTCACCCCGTATAGCTTCGTTATAACGCTAACGCCATCGCTACTTTGGCAATGACCATACTTCACCGCGCTGCTCGGTGCGATGTTGATGAAGGCAGGAAGAATCGACGCTGCAGCATAATACGCCGCGATAATACGTTATGCGTTTTTTTTTGCTGCACTGCCCTCTGCTGCCCGTAGCGCAGCCTCCGCAGAAGCAGCGCTGATGGCCCATCTCAGTTGGGGGCGGGAGACGCGCGCAGGGAGCACTAAACTCGATTATAAACTTTTGTTTTATTTAAAAAAAATTTACCCGGTGTAAGGTGCAATGAGCTACATAGCTGCTGCTTTTTTTTAACAGAAGCGACCTGGATGTCATAAATGGAGCTCAAGGAAGTGGCTCATCGTCGTGTAAATGCAAAGCAAGCAGCGAAATAGTATAAACGAGCGGTGGGAGCCCAGAACTCGTTCACACAGCGCGCCTATTGCAGCGGCTGCAATCAAGGGGTTGACATCTCATGGAATAGGTGTCAGGGTCGCTCAACTCCCAATTCCCACCTGCCAACCACGCCTGATAGCCGGTGGGGGGGGGGGGGGGGGTGATGAGTGGGGGAGTAAGTCGGTGAATGAGTGAGTGGAAGAATGGGTGAACCAGTGTGTGCCCGGGTGAGTGAGTGACTGAGTGGGTCGGTTAGTGGGTGGGTGAGTGACTAAGTGGGTGGGTGAGTGACTGAGTGGGTCGGTGACTGGGTGAGTGAGTGACTACGTTGGTGAGTGACTGAGTGAGTGACTGAGTGGGTGGGTGAGTGACTGAGTGAGTGATTGAGTGGGTGGGTGAGTGACTGAGTTGGGTGGGTGAGTGACTGAGTTGGGTGGGTGAGTGACTGAGTGAGTGACTGAGTTGGGTGGGTGAGTGACTGAGTTGGGTGGGTGCACCTGGTCTGGCACAAGCGCCGTGGTGAATGGCGGCTGTTGTTGTTGGGTGGGTGAGTTTTGTTGTTGTGACTTGCTGTGTGTTGGTTAAACGCGGCGTGGATGAGACGAAACAGTCAACCTGGGAGACTGGGCACTTAACACGGGCGGAGCAATCCGCAAACCGTGGCAATAGTGATACAAAGGTGATAAGGGGGTGATGACTTCTTGCGATCAATGAACGAATGAGTGGAGTGAATCAAAATGTGCTGGATCATCGATCGGCCTTACCAGAATGTTGAATGTAAAAAAAACGATGCTAAAGGTGAATGCGCAGGACTGCAATGGCTTTCTGGGGTCACTGCCGGTGGAAAAGTTTCCACACGAGGGCGCTGCAGAGAGCCCTTCTACTCGAGATGGCCCCGTGAGTACACACACCGTACAACCCACACACCGCACGCGACCTGTCCCGTCGAGTGTGTGTGTGTGTTGGGAGCCTGGTAAAATAACTAACGATGGAAGTAAATTAGCGACAGCGCACGAGGAGGCGACTGGGCGAGTGTCTGGAGTCGTGATGCGTGGAGTGCGCAGCGATCGTCAATCAGCCCGTCCGCTTTACTTTATGGGGCGCAGCGAGGGCAGAACTGGATTGCTACCCCCCACCCCGGACAGGACAGCGTCTGGTGTCCGCGTGTGGCGAGTGAGCGCGGTGCGTGAGTGAGTGAGTGAGTGTGATGCGTGTGGTGCGTGAGTGAGAGAGTGAGTGAGTGTGGTGCGTGAGTGAGTGAGGTGCGTGAGTGAGTGAGTGTGGTGCGTGCGTGCGTGCGTGAGTGAGTGAGTGTGGTGCGTGAGTGAGAGAGTGAGAGAGTGTGGTGCGTGAGTGAGTGAGTGAGTGTGGTGCGTGAGTGAGTGGAGCCTCGTACGACAAGCAGCATTGGATGCCGTCGGACGTGCAGTCGCAATTTTCGCACTGGGAGCTCGACCATTTGAGCCCCAATTTGCGGAATCGCCCCTCGTGAAAGCAGCCAACGGTAGACAGCCCTGGGGAAAGCGCGCACGTGGGCCAAAGTCAGTGACGCGCAGCCAACAGCGGATTAACCCACCACACGCTCCTCCTCCTCCCAAAAATATACTTACATATGCTTGATTTAAAGCTTTCGTGACTGCAGGGATTCATATTCTTGGTTCTTTCGGTAAAGTCACGTAGAAGGTAAATATTAAAATAATATTAATATATAGTTTGATATCAATATTATTGTTTTATTTCCCTTCTACGTGACTTTACCGAAAGAACCAAGAATATACTTACATATGATAATTGGTTCTTTACCCTTCTATCTGGCAACAAAACTGACACCTTTTTGCAAGGAGTCATGTTTGCATAGACCGCAATACCTGCAGTCATAATACAAACAAAAGAACATAACTCTGATAATGTGCACATTATCAGAGTTATGTTCTGTGCACATTATCAGAGTTATGTTCTTTTGTTTGTATTATGACTGCAGGTATTGCGGTCTATGCAAACATGACTCCTTGCAAAAAGGTGTCAGTTTTGTTGCCAGATAGAAGGGTAAAGAACCAATTATCATATTTTTACTGGCAAATGAGGTCCCCATAGTGTACTTACATATGCTTGAAAATTGTTATTTGAGCTCAGTAATAGTAATAGCGATTGACAGCCCTTTGCCAATCCACTGCTGAATGAAGGGCCCAATGTCACGCCGTGTCGGTCATAGATGGCGAATTGTTTGACCATACTTCACCACGCTGGCCATTGTAGGTTTGCCAAGGAAAGCATCGCAGGATTGGTTCAAGGGCGGTGAGACAGTAATTCAGCAGTGGATTGACAAGGCGGCTGGAATGTACAATAATTCATAACTATCTAACTTTATTTACGAGGTTATTGCTCGACGTTCTCATATCATCTTCACTTTACGTGTCATCGTCGTCGTGTCAAATATCCCTTAGTCATGAAGCTACCCTCGTGACCATACTTCACCACCCTGGTCCGTGCGGGTTGGTGAGGGAGGAGTGGTTGGGGGGGGGGCGGAGCCAGGACCAGTGCACACAATCACTCGCCACTGACGTTAGCCGGGAATCAAGCTCCTCGTATCGCTACTCATTCCGTGCAATAATAATAATACTAATGCAATTTTATAGAGCGACATTTATGCAATTGCATTCCACAGCGCTGTACATCAATTAGCCAGTCCCTTACACAGACGATACAAAAACAAAACCCCACTTACTTAGCAAATCATAACCCGAAAAGATGAATTCACAAATAACAAGGGTGGGGGGGACGCACATCACAAGAAAAAAATAAGTTAAAATAAATCAATCCGTTCGATCTCCATCCCCTTTAAACATTCGTTTCACTCGACTCCCCTGCAAGCCACTCTCCGCTTTAGTCACCACTACCGACTCCTGCCCATCTCCCTGCCCAGGGGTCTGTGGCTCTTTAATGACCCCTTCGTGACCGTTATTTATGGAAGACAACCACCGACTCGTGTTCTGCACGCGCAGTGTGCGTTGCGCCTCTTGAAATGCAGAGTTGTTGTTTTAGCTTGCCGATCCCCCTGTCCCAGCGCGATGTGTTTGGTGGGAGTTTTACAAATCTGCACGTGAACCACCAACTCGTGCCCCCGAGGTAAATCACTTTATGACTGCATTCTTCAGTAAGGCATCTTTAGCATAAAGGTGAGTGCAGTGTTAATGCTCGTGGTTCAGTGACTTGTCCTGATACATCAAGCAAAGATCTCCCGTCTAGCCTATTCTGCTTAAGCAAGTGCCAGAGTAGTAAGCAACCTACGAAGGACACCTCCACACCGCCCTTGTTTCCACCGAGTGGAGATGTTTTGTACACGCAGTGCCAGGTACTCGTTTAAGGCTGAGTCGACCAAGGGGAGGCTCGGGACCGGTTCAGATAATCGTAACTGCTGTTGACCGTGAGCTGGAATCGAACCCGAGTATCTGGGTTCGTAGGCGCACTACGCCACCGCTGCCCACCACACGCACACCTGTGTGCGTGCGTGTGTGCCCACTGACCCACCTGATATGGGTGACTTGATGGATATGGTTGGTCCGTAGTTATGGCAATTTTCTTTGTCTACGCAGAGTACCACGGCTGCTCCCAGGAGGAGCAGCAGGAGAGTTGATAAAGTCCTCTGTCGGGGGGGTGGGAGGTGGGAGAGACGCGGTCGCGGTCACACGCGGCGAGGTGGGAGGACAATCGTTTTGTAATGAAGTTTCATGTCTTAGCGATTTATCCACGCCGCTGATTTGTGAGAACATCCCGGCGGTTTAACCAGCAAATTAAAATGACTCGTTTCCCTCGCGCCTCGCTGCAAAAACAAAACAAAAACCCGCCTCGTTCGTTTCCCGACTCGGGCGCCTGCCCAAGTGGAGTCGGCCTGCTCGCTCCCCTGCACCGCATTGAGTTTCGTCCGAGTTCCCCGCTTTCCTCCCATAGCAACACGAACAAAAGCACAAGACTGCAACCGGTATTGGCCCAACATCCCAATGCGGAAACATTCCCTGCGAACGACTCGGCAACTTCGCCCCCCTAACTGCAAGAACGTAGCAGGACCGTCCTGAACAAGAGTCGCAAGGCCCCGTCAGACTTTCCTCGGTTAACGAGCGCGAGCGGAAACGAAATGGGACATTTAGTTTGGACCTAATTTGAGCTAAATTTTAAGATAATTTTTTGCTACTGCCCCAGAGTGATATTTGTATTGTATATGTTTGGCCGGGCCTCTGATATACATAAACTCTATATCTGTATCGCGATCACATTCGTCCACACATTACGGTATTAACACATTTAAGGTCCACATCAAACGCAAGCTCCAGCTGTGAAATAGGGATATTCAAAACCGCTGGCAGGCGTTGCTTTTACAGAATCGTGATCGAGTATTAGGAAAAGGTGCGCGATACAAGTCAATGCCATCTGGAGGAGATGCGTGTGCTATTGAGTAGGCGCATGACTCGAAACGTCGCCTATTATCCATGCCTTCACCAATCCGCATTAACCCGCGTGGTAAAGTATGGTCTAATAATCAATAATCACCCCACTCCCCCGACCCGTGGAGGCGCCTTCGTCCATCCTCATCCAGCAGTAGATCGACAAAAGGGCTGTACACATATATATACTTATGTATGCATGCGGCGACAAAACCATATACGTATATATTATTTTAGTAAGCACGCACCTACCATTCTAAAGGATATCTTCACCAGCGTATGTATTTAAATTGTACAGAATTAAGTATATTGATTAACTCGGTATACGAAATTTGCATCCAACACACACATGTATCGATTATACCCGCATGCAAAGACAAAGATCCCACTTAGCGCGTTGTACCTATGAAGACCGGCAGGGCACACGAGGGGGTGGGTGGCCAGCACCACGCCCGACCCCCTTTGTATCCCCAGTGGCGATGTTTACACATCAGGTACTAATTTGAGGCTGAGTCGACCTAGAGGGAGGCCCAGACCCGGTTCAAATAATCGTCGCTGGTGTTGGCCGTAAGTGGGAATCGAACTCGGGTCGACGGGTTCGGAGCTACACGTCCGCTACCCGCATGCACGCCCATACACACACACACGGACTCACAGGACTAACCATGTTGCGAAAGGTTTCGTTGGATCTGCAGAAAGAAGTGACCGAGTGTGGATCCGGGATCCTATTTATATCCTACAGGTGAAGGCACGGATCAGTTTCACGAGTATTATTTGTTTATTTATTATTGTGTGTGTGTGTGTGCGTGCCGGTGTGTAAAGCGCTCATGGGATTAACGTTGCATCGCCACGTCTGCATATCGACGACGATCGCCTAGCCGCTGACATCACAAAGGCGCCGTGAAAATTCCGTTACGTGTCGCACAACAAAGACAAAGGTGTCCCCCCCCCGTATAGCCTCAAACAGACTGTCGGGGGCAAGTGCTGTTCGCGAGCAGCGCCGATGAAGGGCGGCACGGCGCACGAGGGGGTGGGTGGCCAGCACCACGCCCGTCGCACAACACGCAGAGGCACACACACACACGCGCACACAGACACACACACACGCACACACACACACACGGATGTTCGAGAGCCTGGTGACGTCGTCCGCTGAATCCGGCTCGCGATGATAAAGTTGCGAGTTCCTCTTCTGGCCGGTGTCGTCGACTTAGTCCATCATCCCACCGGGGTCGTTTCAACGAGTACCACTTTGTAGGAATGTAACAGGAGGCCTATGACTTTGGTTAAATCTGACCAGATGGAACCGTCGGCTTAAAAGCCGCGCGGTTCACTCTGAATGGAAATACTGCGAGTTTTACTCCTGGCCGGGGTGGTCGACTCAGTCCATAATTCCACCGGGGTCGTTAAAATACGTACCACTTTGTGGGAATATAACAGGGTCTCGACTCCGGTTTCATCTGAGCAGACGGCACATTGGTTCAGCGCGTTCGGCACGCATTTGGAGTTCCAACCTCTGGCAGAAAAAAAAACTCACCCCATTATACCTCGTGGGTCAATAAAATCGATACTACTTTGTACGGAGGTAACAAGGTCTACAATTGGGACGGCATATATAGCGTACACCTGGTGACGGCGATTTGATCTGGAAAAGCGGCATGTTGATCAATGCCGAAAACTCACAGTAAGGGGAGCACTTCCCAACCATCTGCGATCAGATTGTTGCGCGTCAGTCGACAAAATGTGTTTCATTCTGAGAGCGGGAAAGATGCCAAATGTAGCGCAAGCCCAGATATACCATGATGGGGTTTTGTGGCCAGTGGCCGATTATCTGAACCGAACCGATCTTGGGCCTCCCCAAGGTCGACTCAGCAGACCTGGTGCGTTGTGTAAACATCGCCACTGGGGAGACAAAGGCGGCCGGGCGTGGTGCTGGTCACCCACCCCCTCGTGTGCCGTTCCGGCCTTCATACGAGCGCGCTAACAGCCCTTGCCACAACAGTCTGTTAAGTCTATAGGGGTATATTTGTCTTTGTTGTGCATTCAGTGACCGGGCGGAGACGGTTGGGGGGGGGACGCCATCAAATCACGGGTGGCTGAAACCCGGATTCAGACCCAGGCTTTCACTGGTGCCGGATGAGTATCTGAGAGACACCTGGTCCCCTCGACTGCCATAACTCTTAGTTGCAGTTTATTCTGTTGAACCAGGCGAGACATCAAAATAGAAGGATACGATAACTAGCAGCAATGCATTATAATTATTGTTAACCGTGGGCGAATATTACGCAACTTTCGTGAACACGGATCCAAGGATTTAATGCGGTGTTTCTGGAATGCACAAATAAACATGTTTTGTGAATTTCATTCTTCACTGCGACTGTTGATTGATGACGGCACAACCAGATCCGGGAGACTGACGCAACATCACCAAGCCCGTCTCCTAACCCGCTCTGCTCCCCTCTCTGCTGCATGACATGCTAGCGACCATCAGCTTAATCCCCCCTCCTGCAAAGGCGTCGTGGAGTGAGGCTATAGGCTCACCGTGTTTGCAGTGGGACGTTACATTCGGTGCAGTGGAGAGGAATGTTCGAGGCTGTCTCGACGTCATGATATTAAACCGATTCATGGTGATTGTAATTATAACAAAAAGTATTTTATACATAATATATTATTATCACATGTTTATCTATGAACACCACAGTGGAGTACAATAACTCATTTTCAGGAGGGTGCCGCTAAAGTTGGGTTTTTATTTTCAGATGGCATTAGCCAATTCATTAGCGTTAATACGAAACTAAAACTATTACAAAAATGTTTTCCCAGGTAAGGCCGACTGAGCTATATAGCTCTGTTTCAGAAGCTACCTGGCCACAGATGATAGCTTAACGAAGTGGCTTATCATGTGGAAATGTATAACAGCCAAATACTCTAAACGCGTGATGTTGATTCTAAATGTGGAGGGGAAAACCTGAGAACCCGCAGGAAAATCCACGGGACCACGGGGAGAGAGAGAGACACGCAAACTCCAAATATACAGCAGAAGGCGTCAGGGTCGGGATCGAACCCACGACCTCCTGTATACCAGGCGAGGTAGTTAACATCTCCGAGCCACCGCGAGAGGAAACCGGAGGACCCAGAGGAAACCCACACGCGCGAGGGGCAATCCTCTCTTCCCGTACAAACACAATGTTAGATTAATAATAAATGGTAGATTCTAACCCAAATCACGTAAAATATTTACACAATCTAACCCCAAAAAAACCTGTTATCGATATTGGTCGCGAAAACCGACGTGTTAAACTTAACGGTCGATTACTCGACACTTTCTCTACTGCCCTCACTTGGCCGGCCAGAATATGGCACCTCTTGAACAACCATGGGAGTTTCACAGCAATTTGTGTGACCCACCAACGCCTCGCTGCCTCAATTACAGGCCACGCGCGTGCATAGCCACCACCACCGCCAGCCACCACCGCCAGCCACCACCGCCAGCCACCACCACCGCCGCCGCCTATTTGCTTGAAGTCCCTTCCATGGCAAGTTCACGCTTGAGAAGAAAGGCGTTTGAACAGGTCCACGCGACTTACAACTTGTTTTTCGGCTGTCCGGGGACATGCTCACGGCCGACAGATTCGGCGTCACGACGAGTCACTCAGACCGTGGGCTGACGTCCAACACCGCACCTGGGCACGGAACATTCTAGAGAGGTCAACAGGTGAGCATCCGCTCGCCAGCGTATACGTGCCAGGGCGCACGATGCGACAGCCGGAGGGTTGAGGCATGCCACAGGCGTATCGTTTACATCAACAGCGTGTAATCACACGTCACGAAAGACACCCCCAAAGGCAAACATTTCCCGGACAGCGTTGAACAGACTGTTGAGATAATAATTGCTGCGAGCGAGCACCTATTAAGGCCGTCACGGCATAAGCGGTACGCGCGGCCGTGTTTGTCTCCCCACTGTTGTTGTTGTTGTTTACACTCCGCACCAAGTAGTCGCTTCAAGTCTGAATCGACCTCGGGTAGGTCCGGGACCCGTTCAAACGTTCGCCCACTGTTATCGGCCGCGAGCGGGAATCGAAGCCGGTTCGCCGGTTTTCGTAGCGCAGCGCACGCACCCTGCACTGCAACCACGGGAACGCTCAATCCGCACACACAATCTCACATAAATTAGGATGAGCTCTGTCTCGGTCACTTGCGACACAGGTACACACACTTACACGCACAAAGGCATGGAAATAGATGGGATCACTGGTAGATCACGGAGGCGTGCAGCAGATTATCATCATGGTGATGTTTTGGGTAACGTTAAATACACACGCGAAACGCGTTGAATAAACAGGGCGAGTTCCTTTACGTCCTGAGCGCGATTCGCACGCAGTGGGCGATTTCAGTGCCGGGTCTGCTACGAACGTCACGCGCAGACACGCGACGCGTCCGTGCGTGGGTGCCAGAATACTTTGTTAGGCGATGTGGGGGGGGGCGACAGTTTTCTTAGCAAGGGTACCGAGTCTGAACTTCATGAATTGATGAATGGAAAAAAACAGCAAGGATAATACATGGTCGATGACATTCAGTTAAAGAAAAGTCTATGCATTCGTCAGCAACGACAGGGGAAAAATATAAACTTTGATCCACCACCTGCCACTGCTTGATTTACTTTCAAAAATATATATATTTAAAACGTTTATCTTATTTTACCAGGTTAGGCCCACTAAGCTATATAGCTCTTTTTTCAGGAGCGACCAGGTCACAAATGATAGCCACACGAATATTGTGGCTATCATTTGCGTGGCCAATCCATTCGGTCGGCGCTTTTGCAGTGATAGAATAGAGTCCGTGAAACATCGGAAGGTTTGCGCATGCCTCATGTAGCCAACAAGAAGCAATGCCACAATGAACAACCGATGGAAAGCGCATGGGGACGAGCTGTTACGGGTTAGAGCGTGGGGTCTAAGAGCATGGAATGAATTAAAATAGCTCCATTATTTCCACGACTCCTTGTACGGGCAAGTCCACGCCCAAACTAAGTGTATGTTGGCACGACGCAGCTACTTTATAGAGCGTCATTTGGGCCTTCATATTTCACGCAGAGCGCCCTGCTCGTAGCCCCCCCCCCCCCATCGAACCTCGCGCCCAGCCCTGGCTACGGCACCGACTCGTGGCGCTTCTCGTCGTTGTCACACACACACACCGCCGTTGTCACACACACACCGCCGTGGTCACACACACAGCCGTGGTCACACACACACACACACCGCCGTTGACACACACACACCGCCGTTGTCACACACACACACAGCCGTGGTCACACACACACACACCGCCGTTGACACACACACACACACTCCGCCGTTGTCACACACACACACAGCCGTGGTCACACACACACACACCGCCGTTGACACACACACACCGCCGTTGACACACACACACCGCCGTTGTCACACACACACACACAGCCGTGGTCACACACACACACCGCCGTTGACACACACACACACACTCCGCCGTTGTCACACACTTACACCGCCGTTGTCACACACACACACACACCGCCCTTGTCACACACACACCGCCGTTGTCACACACACACACACCGCCGTGGTCACACACACACACACACCGAGGACAGATCGTCCCTCGCACGTGTGACGTGGCTGTCTAAGGTGTCACACACTTTCCTTATGAGC